ACAGGCACCTTTGCTCTTTCTTTCTTTCTTTCTGGAGGTAGACATCAACCTCTGCCAGTAGCTGAGGGGATGGAGTTGGGGGGCAAGGTAGCGGGGTGAATTACCCTGAGGGGACAGAAACACTATGCCATAACTGTTTGAATTTATATTGAGGATCCAGTGATCTTGGTGACATCCTAACAAGAGAGGTAGGTAGGAATCTCCTGAAGTCAGGAACCTTTGTTTCTGGTGAGGAGTTTGAGTGACCAGAGGATAAAGTAGGCCTTCTGTAGTAGTAGGACTGGGAAACTGAGGACCTCTGCCTCTGTAGGCAGTAATGCCTGTAAAAAAAAAAAAAAGCCCTTCTACAGGAGTGCTAGAGGAACACCACTCAGCATCTTGCTGCAAGTTTGTCTTTCCTCACTTTAGTGACTGAGCACCTCATCATTCTTGGTACTAAGCAGGTCTGATCCCTCAAAGGGAATATTTTCAATATTTGCTTCTGTTTCATATGGCAGAGCTGTGGATCTCAACCAGGAGAGCTGGTGCAGAGAAATCACTGTGTCCAAACTGCAAGCCAAACAATCAGTGGTAATTTAGTGGTACAACGTTTAGAGGCCTCCAGAGCCAGGAGTTTGGCTAATTTACACTTCTCCTGAGGCAGCATTTCTAGGCATGGGGCTATGCTGTCCCACAAGAAGAGTTAATAGTAAGCCTTTAAACATTGGTAATTATTTTAAAGCCCAAGACAGAGGAGGCATAGATTTTTTCTGCCCACTCCATCCAGCTTACGACCTGCTCTGTCCATAGGAGCAGAACACTGAATGCCCTTGTTCTTGTCCTGGGTGGAATCCACTACCAAGCAATTTGTCATTGGGTACTCGAATAGGAAGGCACATCCAGTTTTGTTGAATTATCGATGCACCTAGCTGAGGGTGGAACCGAGGTAGGTCAAAGACATGGTCCTGGGGTTCTAGCAGGCTATACATTAAAGTCACCAGTGCTGTTGAGCATAGGTACATGACTTTAAAAACAAGGTACGTAATTCTGGGAGGAGTGTAGGAAACATTGATCTCCAAGGACTGTGCTGTACATATGAGTTGTTCATTGTACATGAGCATGTTCTCAACTTGATGAATATATGGATGGTTCCAGCATGGCATCATCTGACGATTCTGAGGCACAAAGTCTTTCACAGGAAAATAAAGCTGATCGTGGTCATAGTGTGGATCCGAGTAGTCACAAAACTGTTCCAGAGATGGATAAGTTGTCTTCCCAAGGTAGCAGAAGAACAATGGAGAGCACTGGCTGGATTGAATCCCAGAAGGGCATACAGATCACAACCTTGGTCATAGTAGTCACAATAGCGATCTTGGTAAGGAGAGCTTGCAGTTGATGTAAGACAATTTCCCACCGGATCCAGTGAATGGAACAGAGATGTATGGTGCATGGAAAATATATATGGCTGACAAGGAACTGGCAGTTCTAACTCAACAATCTCACCTTCCGAGACAGGAACTGGAGATGATGGAGAACGTCTTGAAGATCGTGTTCCCAGATTGGAGACCGCCTTTTCGATGGGTTCAAGGGTTGGCTTGTGCAGAATCAAGTCCCTAGAACAACAAGATATTGGAAACCTGGTAGACTTGTGCGACATAGAGGATTTCTCAGCATGCTTGTGCTTGTGCCAAACTTGTATTTGGTTGAGGCTCTGAAGCACTATACTGAGGTGATGATGGAGCAGAGGGGAGGGCCCTGACTGGAGTTGTAGTTGAAGTCAAGGGTCCCTGGGTTTGGTCTCAAACCTGATGGAAGACTGGAACCATCTGTCAGCAGCGGAGAATGGTGTTGTGCTGGCAAATTGAACATTTAGAAGTATTGTGCACCTCTCCGAGACAAAGCAGGCAGAGTGTGCAGCCGTCTGTGTAGGAAACTTCTGACCCACAGAACCCACATTTTTTGAGAGTTTTGGGCCATAATGTTTGAGCCCATTTGCTCTAGAAAGTAAATTTGTAAGTTTTCTGCATCTGTAGTAATACCATCTCCTTTTCAAGGGAAGTATTTTTAGTGACGGAGCTTCAAGGAGACGATCTCTCTCAGCGGAGGCAGAAAGAGAACTGAGGGAATGGTGGTCCTCCCCCTCCCTTTTATGCTGGAAAAGGCGGGAAACCATAGGGGGGCAGGAGAAAGGATCACCCTGGAGTTTTGGAGATTACAAATCTCTGTGAGGCAGGTCTGTGCATGCACAGTAACCGACGTGAGACTGCATAGGTACCACAACGATGACCCATGCTTTAAAGCAAAGCAAACAGGGCCCTGCAGGTACTGATTTGGGGTGGAAGCTAGAAAAACAGAAACTATGCATATGTGAATTATTCAGGAGGGCATTTTACACAGGCAATCGGGCTATATTATAATGGAATTGTTCAAGAAAAAAATGCCTTAAAGGGACTGTGAACTATATGACCATGCATAGTATGTACTATCCGTTGCAGCCAGTATGTATTATCTCACTAATTTCTGTATTGTTTATTATGCTGTGGTAAAGCTTATACTTTGTTTCAGCTGTCATATTTCTGCAATTCTAACCCTATTACACTGCTTACTGGATGACACATGTCCAATTCTCCCTTCAGCCTCAGTGAGAAAAGTAGACTATAAATAACACAAGCAATAACATAAAGGAAAATTGGCTATTTGAACTGTAAGGGGAAACTAGCAGAGGGATTGTCATCTCCCTCAGTAAAACTGAAGAACAAAAAGCTATACCTGCATAACAAACGTCCAATTAAATAAACCTATTCTTTTATATTAACAGTAGTTTCCTTTGTAAACACTTTTGTAATTTGGTTTTGTTGCCTCTTGATCTTAGGGAATGTCTATCCTGTGCCTAGTAAATATGGTAAGGTAAAGGTTCCCTTGCTCGAAAGCCAGTCGAATCCGACTCTAGGGTTGCGGTGCTCATCTCCGTTTCAAAGCCGAAGAGCCAGCGCTGTCGGAAGACGTTTCCGTGGTCATGTGGCCGGCATGACTAAACACCAAGGCGCCCGGAACGCTGTTACCTTCCCACCGAAGTGGTACCTATTTATCTACTTGCAATTTCTTGCTTTCAAACTGCTAGGTTGGCAGGAGCTGGAACTAGAGATGGGAGCTCACTCCGTCATGCGGCACCCGGATCTCGAACTGCTGACCTTCCACAGCCTGCAGTTCAGCGTCTTAACCACTTGAGCCACTGCAGCTCAATATGGTAAACCAGGGTATAAAAAGAGGTGCCTTTTTTACCTGGAAGGGTAAATACTGGCAGCAGAAATTAAAGTTACATAACAATAAGGTACATTATCCCCTCCAGCTCTGAGTCTCGGATGGCAACATGGTGAAGTTAAATCACAAAGACTCCACATATTTGCTGGGTGTAGGGTCAAGTTAATACACAATAACTTTGCCCTGTTCTCCATACCCTTCTCTGTTTTATCCTCTCAGCAACCTTGTGGGATAGGCTAGGCTAAGAGAATGACTGACCCAAACAGTGAATTTAATGGTGAGCAGGTATTTGAACTTGGGCCTCCCCTGTACTATTCCAACACTATAATCCCTAGATGAAACTGGCTTTATATCAAGGCTCTACACCTCAGAGGTGTCAAACATGCAGCCCGGGGGCCGGGTTAGGCCCCTGGAGGGCTTCTATCAGGCCCACAGTGGAACTGGCTGTCTCCTGCTTCTTCTTCCAGTTCTGCTGCTGCTGCCTTGTCGGACTCTCTCAATCACTCAGGAAAAATAGATAGGCAAGCTTTTGTCCCCTGCACTCGCTGAGGCTCCTCCCCCTCCCCCTTCCAGGGGGAGGGAGGGAATGAGCCAGAGCTTGCTTCCTGGCCAGACTGCCTCAATCATACAGGAGAGAAAGGCAAGCCTTTCTTCCCTTCCATTGGCTGAGGGTCCTCCCCAAAAGGAGGGAGAGAAGGAGGGAGAGCTTGCTTCGCTTGGCTGCCTCAATCGCACAGGAGAAATATAAAGCACCTTTAAGACCAACTAAGTGTTATCCAAGGTATGAGCTTTTGTGTGCCTAGCTACAGTGTGTGTTTGTGTTTTTGGGCTCATTATGCTGTGGCTCTCCTGGGTGCAACTGGGTTCCCTCCCCCTTTTAACTGTATTCATGCCCTCATGATCCAATCTTTCTCAGTAGGAAACCAGTGTGAATTATTCAGATGAGGGATAACAACAAGCCAGTAAAGTGGATTAGGCTGAGAGTGTGTGTCCAGACCAAGTTTACCCAGCACATTTCCTTTGGGGATTTTGAACTTAAGACTTCCCAGATAGTAGGCTGATACTGATCACTGAGGAAGACTATAGTTTTGTAGACAAACACATAGCCCTCAGTCTGTGTCATGGTGCCTTCTCATATTCTTGACCAGCACACAAAGCTATTTATGTACAAAAGCTTGCAATGGCCAGTCATTTCATGTTTTCCCCTGGGCCCTAGGCTCAGAACTCTGAGCATGAGATTTCTGTAGTGAATGTCAATAAATCAAAAGTAAGTTTGCAGCTTACAGATACACACTTGAACAGCATACTTAAGATTGCAACAGCACAGACATTTTGATCCAACAATTCAGAGCAAGAGGTGTCAATTATCAGACACTGTTAAATAAACAAAATATTGCAAAAGTGCTAATGTTTTAAGCATGTTTTTAAGTAAAAAAAAATCTTTGTGTTCTTTATAAAGTTTATATCACCGCTACCTGGTATTACATTTTATGACACACATGGCCCGGCCCAACAAGGTCTCATTTATGTCACATCTGGCCCTCATAACAAATTAGTTCGACACCCCTGCTCTACCTTGCTGCAAGTATAATTTCATTAAAAGAACCAGTGTGTATTTGAGCTGCTGAGAAAAAGGGAGTTGTTCTAAACGACACGAGAAATGGGAGGAGAGTTTTATTCAAAACACTAGTTCAGATTCAGGACCACTCCATTCAGTTTGCGCAATTTAATAATTGCTTCTATTTGGTTAGAGATGTTGAACAAATGAAGTTTAGATTTTTTTTATTAAGCACATTCCACAGTACAAAGCCTTATATCATGAACAATATCTGTACAATTCAACAGTTGTCAAATAAGCTGTTCATACATAAACTTTCCAAACAGGTAACTGGCAAACATAATTACAAGTTAGAATAAGACTATCCCAGTGCTTTGAAACATTAATCTAGCAGGAACATATAGCTGCTCAGTTATGATTAGCGAAACAAAGTCCAGAGTACAGCCAGGATCACTATCATTAATCCCAGGAGCCGAGGTCCTTGGGTGCCAGTCACAAACTGCACAGCTATGTTACACCAAGCACAATCAAAAGTAGTTTCGGCTGCATCTTCAAATACCATTATTTCCCATGGAAAAACATGAATTTCATCTTACACATGCATTTAAAAAGGACAGTTCTCCATAAATACCTTTGTCTTCAGCGCTGCAACAGAAAAGTCTTTCATGTCACAGCTTTCGTGGAGGAGGAAGGAGGGAGGAGGAAATCATTTCCTTAACTGTCAACCATGTTAAAATCTGAGAACATGGGAAATGTGCCCTCTTGTGGATTCTATGACGTTTGATCATATCCAGGTAACTCATCTTGCGATGTCCAAAAAGAGAATCCACAAACTCGATTTGTAACACCCAGGAAGGCAAAGAGTGGAATTCCAGAAGCCGCTCAAAGTTAACGCCTTTTAAACCTCTTGACGTGTGCTTTCATTGCTAATCTGATTTGACAAGCTGGTAGGCGTGCGAGTGAAGTATCCAGCCACAGCTGTTCCACTAAATAAGCAATATTCATTCATTTGTCATTTTAAGTTGGTTATCAACATTCCTTGACCCCCTCAACCAAAGGGGAGGTGGAGAGAGAAAGAAAGAGAAAACAGAAATCAGCAGTGGCAGCAAAGGAAAAATATGACTACGGAATGACAGCATCCATTCCAATTCTGACTGTTGCTCCAAGATCAATCAATGTCACATTTCATTAATCAGTAATTACCAAACGAGCATTAGAAGTCAAGAACTGATGCTGCCCCAGCAATAACTTAAAAGATACAGAGCCAGCATTTGTAGAGAGGGTTTGTTTTCATGTATAGCCAAGCATACAACTAACTTGCCACTGCCAGTCATACTTCCACAGGGGAGAAGTCCCAACTATGTGTGCCTTGGCTACTCCGTTTCTTTGCATCAACGGTAAGGAACATGAAACATCTCCCAGAAGATCACAGTGGAACAGCAATTCATCTCAAAGTCCTTATAAGTACAGCGATCCAAGGGCTTATTTGAATGGACTTTAAAAGATACTTATATAGGCAACTTTGGCCAAAAACATCCCCCCCCCCGACGGTTTTGCAACTACTGCAGTGCGGAAAAACAAGAACAGAATTTGTAATTTTTTTAAAAAAAATGGGTTTGAGAGCTATATCACCCCCCCCTTTTTTTTAAGGGCAGGGGAAATCCTAATAAATACCCTCCTTTGCACTGAGAAGTATTTCTAAAGTAATACATCCCAAACCCATACTGTGCCAGTAACTAGAATGCTTTGATGCGTAAAAAGCTTATGCCTTGGCATCGATGTACAGTATCAGGAGATCCCGACTCCCAGCACTTGGAGGTTACAATGTTATGTACATTATATCTACATGCTTATACAGTTACGGTATTGGAAATAATGAGGCAAGCACACAGGAAGGATCCAACTATACCAAACGTTAGGTGGAGGACGGTTGTCGTTCAGAACACGGTTAAACGGGGGGGAAAGACAGTGCTGTACACCTAAAGTTTAGATCATCTAGCCCAATTTACAATCTCTTTTAAATTAAAGCAAATTACTGGAGCAGAAGTAAACTGTCGTCCAAAATATTACTGAGGCGTTCAGAAATATTTCTTATCAGTCCGACTGATATTCATAGCCAAAACAAAACAAAACCAGGGTCTGAAATCAGTCATGAAATGTAAAAGTCTTACAGGAGGATGACTTTGAAAGCAAAGCCCTGTACATTCTGGGTTATGTGTTTGGCACCCACATTTCACTGAGAATGTTTTTCTTCTTCAGAGTCAGATCAAAAGTGCAAAGCAAATATAAATTAGACCAAGTCCTTCCTTGACATCTGATTCACTCCTGGAAAAACAAGCCATCAGTTCAGTGTATATGGGCAACTGTTACTCATGAAGCTTTGGATCTTGCGTTGCGGTGAAAGAGAGACTGGATTTCTTCTACCCGGGCTCCATGAATTCCTTGGTCAGTTCCTCAGAGGAGATCACTGAGTGACGAAAGACTGGAAAAAGAGACAAGTTGAGATAACAGAATTGTGCTGCTTCGCATCTACACAGCATCTAGAACCACTTCTGACTTTAGCTGTGGCTAACGTCTTCAGGTGAGTAAGAGCCAAACATCCAGCAGTTCAAAGACTGTGGAATCCTGCAAGAAGAAAACGACACGCCTGAATTACACACCACCCAGTACTAGCAGGTTACCAGGCACTGGACAACACAGCTACAAACTCTAATGACCAACGTTCTCATTTACAAGGCGACAAAAAGGTATAGCTCTGATATCCCTCTGTCTTGCAAAGAGCTCAGGACAGAATACTTGATTTCCCGCTTCCCCCTCTTTATCCTCACAACAATTCTGTGATATAGGTTAGGCAAGAGATTCCCAAAGGTAGGCCGAGATTTTCCAAACACGAACCCACCCCATGATTTATGTTTCCCTTCATTCCATAACATACAAAATAATGCAGCTGAAATCCCTTCTATAGCTACTGAAATGGATCTGGGGATCGGCGTTTGTTTGTTTTTTAACCAAAAGGCTTCCAAAGCTTCCCTTCATAGCGCTTTCATGTTTTAAACTAAATACCACATGCCACTATCAAGAAAACATTTTTTAGGTTTTTGTTTTAATGTTCAAATAAAAGGATTATATTACATTATCATATTGTAACAATTTTTGATTGCTACAATAAAAAGGGAATTCAACAGAAGGCAATAGTATTTTCTTATCGCCAACAGTGCCAGGCTTGTCAGAAACGACAGACTTTGCAGAGGCAGAATCGCTGGGGATACTGCAATAAAGGGTGCAGGTTTTGGCTAGAAGAAGGGGAGGCTGACACCAGTTGGGCACGCACATACAACACAATCCAGGGCTCTTTTTGTAGCAGGAACTCCTTTGCATATTAGGCGACAGACCCCTAATGTAGCCAATCCTCCAAGAGCTTACAGATCTCTTCTTACAGGGGCTACTGTAAGCTCTTGGAGGATTGGCTACATTAGGGGTATGTCACCTAATATGCAAAGGCGTTCCTGCTACAAAAAGAGCCCTGAAATTTAGTACTATTTATTTCAGCAATACACAGCAGTGGATAACGAAGTAGAAAACACGAAGACCAACACAAAAACCACCTAGTGCAGGACTGTGTATTCCAACTGACCATTCTTTCCAAGGTCTTAGGGCAGAGAAAAGTCATCCTGTGCCATACTACTGGAAGTCCCTTAAGTTCAGATGTCAGGAATGGAACCTGATATTTTAGGCGTGCAAAGTATATGCTTTACTACAGAGACAACGTCCCTTCCCCCAACGTATACCAAGCTGTCTTTATATTATAAGGAGTCATACCAACTAGGTCCATCCTTCCAGGTCTTAAGAGATTCCCCCCCTCCCCGCCGTCCCGGTTACCCAAGATCGTTTAAGTGGAGATGCCAGGTATTGAACCTGGTATCTTAAGCTGGTAAAAGAGCTGCTCTACAATTATGAGAGCTCACAGAGTTTCACCTCACAGATAACTGTTCAGTGACATAAGCAGTTTTCATGAAACATTTATATATATGAGAGAGAGAGAGAGAGAGAGAGAGAGAGAGAGAGAGAGAGAGAGAGAGAGAGAGAGAGAGAGAGAGAGAGAGCGCGAAAGAGCGAACGAATATATATAAGAGAGAGAGAGAGAGAGAGAGAGAGAGAGAGAGAGAGAGAGAGAACACGAACGAACGAACGAACGAACATGCCTAAATGGGCTTTCGCCCTCCTCCCAAGCCATTTTCCCAAGTGAAAACCATGGTGGGGAGAGAGTTACTTCCCCAATTTTGGTGCTCCACATGGAGTATCTGTGCATGCTTAGAACAACAAAAGTTTACCTTGGAGAGTGGTAAATTGCAGACTGTTATCTGGAGATGTAAGTGTATGTTCTGGATGGAGAACGTGTCTCATTTTGTGCATTGGGGGGCACATTTAAAAAATCCCAAATCAAAATGGTATCATCGTGAGAGCTACTAATGATCTGAAACTCATCAAACTGGAGTCTAAAAACACGTCCTGAGTGTTCCTGGAAAATTGCAAAGGGTAATGGTTAATGGGGCCAGAAGACTCTTCTCACAAGATTCATATTCTAGTATTCATTTTCATACATGAAGGAAATCACAAATTTAGGAGTGACAACCACATTTGTTGCAGGGACATACCCTACCAACCCTGAGCCCACGTTAAGCATGAATGATAGTCCAGCGTCCCTAAATGTGAAGGTGCACTCAGATAGAACTGTGCTTGGACATACAGATCAAAAATGAGGTCCCCTTGAGTATTCTATTGATGGCCGTGACGAAAAAGTGCCGTCAAGTCGCAGCTGACTTATGGCGACCCCATATCGTTTTCAAGGCAAGACATTTTCAGAGTTGGTTTGTCATTGCCTGCCTCTGCAAAGCAACCCTGGCATTCTTTGGGGGGGGGTCTCCTATCCGAAGACTAACCAAGGCCAACCCTGCTTAGCTTCTGAGAGCTCACAAAATTGGGCTAGTCTGGGGCATTCAGTTCAGGGCATTTTATTTATAGGACTGACGAAACAGATCTGTACCCAGATACCAGAAAGCTCAAGTACACTGAAGCCAACTTAGAAAAACCATGTCCAAGGACCATGGAGATAATTCTGGCAATCTTGAAATAAATAAATAGGTAAAGTGGAGTGGAGCAACAAACTGGGACAGAAAAAAATAGACCTTTCACAATGCAGACCTACTCTTCACAGAAAGAAATGGAAAAGCTACTAAAGGAGAAAAACCACTTCAAAGCTGAAGTCATTTCTGCTTTTGGAAGCTCTGGGCAAAGGGTCCTCATGTACAATAGATTACAAAGACATTCTACAAATATAGAACGGGGCCCATCTGAAAACTCAATTGCAAAAAATAAACATCAATGGAATTCATAAATCTGAAATACATTCCCATACAGCTGAATAGAAAAATAATTTATGGTTAGTTCCATTCAGCCTTTACTATATATAACTGTTAATCGTGCCCAATGCAAACTGCCTGCGTTATACATAGATCAAGCATCAACTGTGCCTTTCCCACTGGAAACTGCATTTGCGGCCGCAGCCCCGCATGAAATGGCTTCTTCCCAAACTGCAAAATGTTGAGGACCTCCAGTCCACCCCCCCCCCCAAATAAAAGACTACATGACATACTCAAACTACTGGGGAGGGTAGTCAGGGAAGGTGAAAAACTCTCAGTTGCTTTTAGAACTCTTGCCACTCACCACAGTCTGCAATAATATGAAGGATACAACCAGAATAAAACTATTCTTAAAATGCAAACGTTTCTGTACCAGCTCACTTTACACCCTCACACAGATGCCCAAGTAACAAATACATATTCCCTGCTGCCCAATCTGATGCAAGTGTGTAACGTTTGGCATATATTCTTTTAAAACACTTGGAATCCAACTAAATTCTTAGCATCTGAACAAAAGGAACACACTTCAGATTCCAAATGTATGTACCTTTCGATTCCAAAGACAAGGTATGTATACAAAAAGAAGAAATTGGGGGCGGGGGGGGGGATCACCCAGAGCCTCCTTTTTGTAAGTATCAGGCTAGGTGTGTGCAAAAGTCAGTATTTTTTGGTTTCGGGTATATCAGACCCGAAAAATATCCGTAAATGCTGAATATCCCAAGTCCAATACCGGTAAAGTATCAGAACTGGGGAAATATTCAGTATTCCCGAATATATATTCAGATCTGATATACTGGACAGGAGGCAAGGGAGGCATGTAAAATGCCTTCTTTCCTTCTGGAAGCCAGTTCAGCTTTCCTTGTCAATTTCACTCCCCGCCAGTCAGCTGTTAGGTTTAAGCCATTTAAACCTAACAGCAGACGGGCCAGGGGAGTGAAATTGGCAAAGGAAAGACTCCTGTCTCTGCCTCCCCTCCTCTAGCTGACCCAGGATAGCTAGAGAAGGGAAGGGAGGGAGCCCAGACATGCTTCCATGTCTGGCCTGTGCTTTCCCAACCCTCCCGCTGTGGAAACAAGCCTTCTTTTTTCCCCTTCCCCCTCTGAGATTCTCCACAGCAGCGGAGAAGCAGCGGAGAAGCTCAGAGGGGGAAAGACGCATGCTTCTGTGCCTGCCCTGTGCTTTCCCAGCCCAGTCCCCCCCCCACCGTGGGGGGGGGCTGGGCTGGGAAAGCACAGGGCAGGCATGGAAGCATGCCTGGGCTCCTTGACTGCCCCTCTCCAGGGGCAGAAGTGCAGGCAGGGAAGCCAAGGCATGTTTAGATGCCTTTCTTTCCCTCCCCGAACTGGGAGAGGGAAAGAAAGGCATTTAAGCATGGTTGGGCTCTATGACTGTGCTTCTCCAGCAGCCCTGGGGCAGCTGGAGGAGGGAAGGTAGAGAGGCTTTTCCTGGTCAGTTTCACTCCCACAGCTGACTGGCAAGGAGTGAAATTGACTAGGGAAGGTTTTCAGCTACCCGAAAGCCAAAAAAGCCGAACAAATTCAGGAAACTGTATTTGGAGGCCGAAAAGTTTCCTGAATTTGTATTCGGCTTTAAAAATACCAATAAATACTGATAAGGTATTTATTCTGTATTTTTTTTTTTTTTGGTTTGGGAAAGCCGAGCACATCCCTATATCAGGCCACCTCTTTTATGTTTGTACTTTTGGCAGGCCAGATGAGGGATGTATAATGTGGAAACATAAAAGATTTTCTTAAAGCTGGGATGCGCAGCATATAGATTTCTGTTCAGAAGACAGAACAATTTGAGCAATCTGCTGTTTTGATAACATTTCAGAGCATTCAAATCTAATCCTGAAGACCTGATGCTCCCACAAAAATATGTGCACTAATACTTTGCCTTCAGATTTATATTGCACAAATGTGCAATTTTCATTCTATTGCTAGGTACCAAAAATAAACTCAATGTTAAAATATCGCACATGCAAATTACAAAGACATCACTGTCTACATACCACCAATGTGCGTAAGCACAGTGTACTTGCTGGGGCACGAGGGTCAAGAGCAGCTTGCAAGTCCCAAACTTTGATTTTACTGTGAAGAGTGAGAGGTGAAGAGAAAATTACGAAGGTATACAAACCCCAATGCATCACAGAAAGCACCAGAAATTGGAAAGAGAGGCCACTTTCAGCACATACCCATCATAGGCTCCGCTTACGATCCTCTTGTTATCGAATCTGATGCATCGAACCAGTTCTTCATGTCCTTCTAGTACTCTCAAGCAGGCTCCACATTCGATGTCCCAGAGCCTTAAAGAAACATCACACGTGGCTATTTGAAGACTTACATCCAATACAAATCTCCCTTGTACATATTTTACCATTTCTCTTGGAGCATGAAAAAAAAGTTGCAGCAATTTCCCCTCCCCAGAACTGAGCAGCTGGAGGGGAGAGGGGAGAAAACTGCACTCCACAGGCCAAAGTCCTTATACCTGTAAAAACGTCAAGTGTGGATCCAAGCCCATGTCTATAACTAAATATGAAAAGCCATCACTGAATCACCCTGTGATCATTCAGTGTACATCACCTGGACAAATCTGATCCCATCCCAACAGATTCAGAATTCACAGCCTGCATGAGTCGCTAGTTTGATTGGTGGTGGAAAGTGCCATCAAGACACAGCCAACCTATGGTGACCCAGTAGGGTTTTCAAGGAGAGAGACGTTCAGTGGCAGTTTGCCATTTCCTGCCTCCACAAAGCAACCCTGGACTTCCTTGGTGGTCTCCCATCCAAGTACTAACCAGGGCCGACCCTGCTTAGCTTCTGAGATCTGATGAGATCAGGCTAGCCTGGGCCATCCAGGTCAATACTTACAATAATTAGAAGGCATCTTTTGAACACTGCCCAGTCTCGGGCTTTTTTGGCGGCTGCCTCATCAAGTGTGGAGCTGTCGGCCAGACGTCAAGCGAACTCCTGCCTATTGAGCTTTCAGAAAATTTTACAAAGCAGATCTTGGGAATAATATGTTGGATCCAGTGAATGCCTTCAGCTAAGTCCTCCTCTGTTGGAGGAACACTGAGTAGAAAGGGGATCATTGACCCCAACCCATGATATCTGGGAAGTCAGCTCAGAGGACAGAACAGTGATGACTGGACTGACAGAGAAATGTCCTTGCCCTTTGAGTTCACCGCTTTCCCCAAAGAAAAGCAAAATTGGCTGCCTACCTAATCGTATTGTCTGATGATCCGCTCACAACAAGCCGATCCCTGTATTGGAGGCAAGCAATGCCCCGCTTGTGCCCATTAAGAGTGCGAACAAATTCACATGTGCTGGTGCTCCAGACCTGTGGGGATACACACACATAGGAAAGTTCTGAAAGTCTGCATAAAATAATAGTTTAGAAGTATTGCAAATGCACTTTTCATGCCAGAAGCCTATCTCTCGCCATATATTCTAATACGAAGCCTGGATATCCTTCGATTCTTAAATCTGATGACTGGAGCTGTGAACGGGCAAGACAGGTCTTTCTACAAACCTGAAAATGGCCCTAGATCTGTAGAAAAATGTGTAATCTAAAAATAAAACAAAACCCAAAACACTGGGCAGCTTTAAAAAATCCAAAAATGATAAAAAGGATTGCCTCTGGGGGACTTGATGCCACCTGCCGTGCATGACTCAAATAAGCCTGGCTGCTTGCTCCTGTTCAACAGCAGCTACCCAATGAAAGCCAGTGTGCTGTAGCAGTTAGAGCTTCAGCTTAAGTGTCTGCAAGACCCAGGTTCAGATCCCCATCTTGCTGGGTGATTTTGGACCAGTCACGTACTTTCAGCCTAACCTACTTCACAGGGCTGTTATGTGGATAAAAAGGAGCAGAAGAGAATAATGTAAGCTGCTTTGGTCCCCACTGTGGAAAAAGGTGGGGTATAAATGTAATAAATAAAGAATAAAGATAGCTGAAGATGGGAGGCAGATAAAAGATAGGTTGGTGAATGGCTGAGAAGGAGAGAACGAGGCAGGGAGAGGATATGGGGATTGCCAAGAGGAGGGAAAGAGGTTAGGAAATTCCTAGAAATTGTTTTTTGAGGGGAAGCCTGGGGAGGGCAGGGTTTGAGCAGGGGAGGGACCTCAGCAGGGTATAACGCCATAGACTCCATCCTCCAAAGAAGCCATTTCCTTCAGGAGAACTGGGCTTGCCAACCTCCAGGTGGGCGGCTGGAGGTCACCCAGAAGTACAACTGCTTTCCAGATGACAGATATCAGTGCCCCTGGAAAAAATGGCTGCTTTGAAGGGTGGACTCTATGGCATTGTACCCTACTGACATCCCGGACCTCCCAAGACTCTACCCCCAAATCTCCAGGGTTTTACCAATCTCAGTCAGCCAACTCTAAGAATAACTGATCTCTTTAGATCTGTTGTGATTCCAAATCTCCAATTCCCACCCAGAGGCTGGCAGCCATAGAAGGAGAGAAGGAAGCAGGAAAAGGGGAAAGACTATGGGGGCTTTCAAGAAAAAGAAAGAGGAAATAGTGGGAGAGAGGGAAATGAGTTGCCTCCCACAGGTTTTTGCAGGTTTCCCATTTGTCATATTATTAATAGCTTATTAATGTTTTTCAGATGTAATGCTGTCACATCTGGTATAGCTTGAAATATTTTAATGTCGTTTAATAGTGCCTCACAATATGCATTTTTAAACCTGTCATCGCCAAGTATTCAATGGGCTACTTTCTGTAACAGGAGGCAGGACAATGGGAATGCTGGGACACAGCTCTGGGGGAGCACGTCAAGAACAGCTGTGCCTGAACTATTGCCCAGCATTCCAAAGTTCTGCCTTCCTGTATGTGAGCATGGCCACATGTATGCCATACCACTTTAGCTGATCCATAGCATATCCACCCACCGTCCAGAAAAAGGTCCACTTTGCCAAGTAGTTCTCTTGCTGGAGGGCAAGTACCTATGCTTTTGGACAAATAAAATGTTATTAAAGATAAACATTTATTTCAGTATAAGTTTTCATGAGTCATTGCTCACCGTCAGCTTTGTCATACATATCAGAGGACGTGAGCAGTGATGTTGTCTCTCTCTAAGGGGCCACTGGATTTTTGTTTTATTTTGTTACAACTGACTAACATGGCTACGCCTTAGCACTCAAAATATTTGACACTGAAGAAGACAGATGACTGCAGGTTTGCGGCATGTATAGCGTAGCTCCAACTGAAATTAAAAACTCATTTGGAGATTAAAAAATACAGAAAGCTATCTTATGCAAATATTTAGCAGACAACAGTTGTAGACCTACCCAAAAACTAGGAAATGTTTATGCCACCTTGTCAGAACCGTGGAACCTGCTGCCACAGATGTGGTGATGGCTGCCAACTTGGAAGACTTTAAAAGGGGAGTGGTCATATTCATGGAGGATGGGGCTAACAGTGGCTACTAGTCACAATGGCTACTGGTCATGATGGATATCGACCACCTCCTGCACGAAAGGCAGTGTCAGTTGCTGAGGGTGGGAGGATGCTGAGCTTCCAAAAGGCAGCTGGCCAGTGTGATCAGAACACTGGATTCGATGGGCCTTTCTTCTGATCCAGCATGGCTCTCCTTACCTTCTCAGAAAGCTAACATTAACAGGGAATTTATCGTCACCTCGGAAATGCAGCTTTCCCACCATATTCCTTTAGAAACTGACAAGTTTCGGAAAACTGACTGCTAGCTTACTTTAATGGTCCTGTCCCCGGAAGCGGATACAATGTACTTGTCATCAAAGTCGACAACATTGACAGCCGCCCGATGGCCCACCAACACGCGGCGTAGAGTGATATCGGTCGGTGAGGCCATATCCCAAACGGCAATCGATCTGTCCTTCGAGCAGGTCACCATTAAACCATTACTGAAGCGCAAATGAAGCACTGCCTCGTTGTGATGGATCAGTGTGTTCAGGACTTCGCCGGTGTTCACATCCCACACCCTGCAGAAAACATAATTGGATTCTGGATGAAGTGAAATGAAACCAAGTGGGGAAAGAAACGATTGTGTTGTCTTCCAGGCAGCTCTCAATCTCAATGCCGTACAACAATTTCTAAAAACACACAAATGCATGTATCCCACATTTTTTAAAAAAAATAAAATAAATCAGATCAAGTGAGTTCAGCTCCCTCAGTCAGGCAAAGAAGCACGTGCAGTCATGATGACAGCAGCGACCATCTGTCTGGGGACTGCAGATAAGGCCTTAAAGCCTGCGTGGTGAGTTTATCTATAAGACCAGTCAATACCTTGTGTGGGATGGGAGGACAGCCAACTAGTCAATAACTGAAAGAAAAGGCCAGGAGATTTTAGCTTCGTGCAGTCCATCTGACATCCTGCTGCCAGAACGTGTTCCTAACAACTGCTCCTGAAGGAGGACGAACAAGTTATCCTTGGAAAGAACAAGCTACCCGGCTGCCTTACCTCAGCTTGAATGCTGAGAAACTTGAACACAGTCAACCAATATTGCAGCAACTGCATTGTTCCTGGTCCTAACCCACAGTATGAGGGTTCACACCTTAGAAGAGAGCCCAAGACCACCTCACCCTGCCCTTACCACTGTCTACATTTGGTAGATGAGGCCTCACTAGACATACCCTCACTTCGGCTACAAGCAGGGCCTGTTGCAGTGCTGCCTGGAAGCTATAGAATGAGCTCTCTGGTGAGGTTAAAAGGTAAAGGTAAAGGGGGTGTAAGATTACCATGCGGCTGCTTATGACTTGCTTCAATTGACATTAGGCTGTTTATCTGGACAAACTTTTGGATTTTCTGTTTCCTAGCCAGAGCTAGTACAGTTGTTTTAGACTGCAATGCTCTTTGTTTTGATATCAAAATATGCTTTTAATTACACTTTTAAATCTGCTCTGAAGAAAGCTGCCCCCCCCCAATCCCAGAAGTTATGCTACTCTCTGCAGGTTGTGTATAGTCAGAGTAGCACTTGAGAGTAAGGCACTCCTGGGCTGCTTACGAGGAACAGATGCATCAGCATCTTGCAGGCAGCCTGATGTGTGAAAAGGAGCCCTTTCCCAGCCAGATCTGCACCTCTTCAACAGGAGCAGATCCCAATGTTCCTCGCAAAGTCCAAACATTGTATGGAACATCAGAGGGCGGGGAGTTTCTCGAACGGCAGACTTGCTTTCCTCAGCCAAAACCCACAAGGGTACAGCACAAATCAGCACACTGACTCCGGATGTGGTAGGAAGTGTATCAGGAGTTCCCAAGAAATAGCCCCAAGAAAAAAGCTGGTGGAGACACACCATGGAGAAAAGGCCTAGTGAAGAATTCCTAAAGTTAGTATTGCCCAATTGGACAGAGGTTAGAGAAAATGCCGTTCTAGATTCAAAACTCTTCTTTCTCTTCACCTACATACAGCGGAGGCTGGTCCATTAAGGCAAAGGGGGCAGTGCCCCACCAACGTAGCTCCCCAGCACTCTCCTGTCTGCCTTCTTACTGTCCTTCCCAGATGTCCAAGGGGTGGCAGACTTCCGGCAACAGGGCCATTCTGTCTTGTTTAATGCCACGCCAAAGGCACGCAAGCCTTGTCCTAGAGAGACAGAGGGCTTCCCTGACCTTATGGCTCCCCTCTGAGCCCTGACCGGTTATTAACAAGGCCTGTTAACCTTCTTCCCCCCAGGGAAGAGAGAGGAAAAGAAAATAATGCCCAACCAGTGATAGTATCTGAAGGAGAAATTTTATGGCTACCAAAGCCTAACTTAACTAGTGTACTGTCTTGTCTGCCTCTTTAAACCACACACACATACACTTTCAGAATCAGGATCCCAGGTGATTTTTTAAAAAACACTTATCTGTTTCACTCTGGACATCCCCCTCACCACCTGTAGAGACTTTTGTTGTTGTGAGTAAGGGGCAAGCCTGGAGAACAGGATTCAGGCATGCATCTCACAATGAAATCTTGATGCTGCGACAGCTCCGTCTCTCAGTGTGTGTGTGTGTGTGCGGAATTCTGTTCCAGCCTCTTCCTAGGCTCTAAGAAGTTGAAAGGTGATGGAAACTCACTGCTTCAGTAACTCAGTTCTTGAATTGAAAGCTGGAAAACACCCCCCCCCCCCAAGG